TTAAGGTTATGTTAAAGTTTATTTAAAGTTAAGTTAAAGTTTAGTTAAAGTTAAGTTAAAATTAAGTTAAGTTTAAGTTAAGTTTAAGTTTAAGTTTACGTTAAGTTTAAGTTAAATTATCCCGTAATTTAACAATCGTTTAATAAATGTATAATAGTGTCTAATGAAACATTATTTCACATGATAATCAAGCGTCTATATACACCTTTATATCATCGCTGTTTAAGGAAGTAATGATGTCTAATGAACGCTGAATAATCAAAAATTTGATCGAATAAGCTCTGTTACAATTTTTGTAAGTCGAAGAAAAGCTTCTCGACATACCTTATTCAACACCAAATACTTCGATGTTGTAGTTGAATAAATTCTCCAGATTTGTGTGAACAAAGCCTGAACAAAAGTTAATATTTAAAATAGTACAAGTATTATTAAGCATGAAGTGATATAAAATCGTCAAGAAGTCGTTTCTTCAATAGGCAATTGTTTGTTGGGAAGTAAATTTTAGGTTAAAGTTATGTTAAAATTGATTTTTGACCTCTATTCGTGACCCAAATTCCAAAAATACCCATATTTATGGACTTTTGAAATTATTTTTAACTTTTTGTGGAACTGGAAGCCGCCAAATTTGATTTCAAAATGGCATCGGATATCGATTTTCTCTAGACGATAACCTCCAAAAACCTTCCAAAAAATCCCATATTGATTGATATTGGACAGTAATTCCCACTTTTTCTGAAACCTGAAGCACCTCTTCTTGGATCTCGGAATTCAAAATGGCGTCGGATGCCTATTTCCAATCTCTAGACGTCACTCGATCCCAAAAATACCCATTTTATAGATAATTGACAGTATTCCCAATTTTTCTTAAACCAGAAGCCGCCATCTTTAATTTCAGAATCTTATCGGATATCGATTAGCGGCCTTTAGTCATTACCCCGATTCTAAAAATACCCTATTTATGGATATTTGACACTATTTCTGCAACAGGAATCCTCCACCTTGGATTTCAAAATAGCGTCGGATATCGATTTCCTATATCTACACGTCACCCCGATTCCAAAAATACCCATATCGATGTCAATGGTATCAACGGTATCAACGGTATATGACAATATATCCCATATTTGATTTAAAAATGGCGTCGGATATCGATTTCCAGTTGATTGTAGATTGTAGATTGTAGTAGAGTTGGAAACTTGATCATGTAAACACTACGCATCATTGTCTGGTAGTTCGTTAAAAAATGATACAACAATCGTCAAGCTCGCTGTAACGTCACCTAGTGCCTCGTCATCCACGAATTGGCGCCTATGTCAGTAGTCTAATAACTCTTAGCGCGCTGATGGCATGGTTCCAATGCCGCATAGAGAGTTGCTACAATGATATTAGGTTAGCTAAGGTCAGTTAACTGACTGGTGGGGAACGGGAGCTATAGCAATGACTATTATGTATGCATTTCTATAACGTTATCTAACAACAATGGTGTGTACTGTTTACAAAATCATGTTTTAATTCTAATGTGTTGTATGGTTGAAAGCATTTGAAAAAGTTAGATTCTAATGTTTTGCACATTTGAAAACATCCGAAAACAATAAGTTCTTAGTACAATTGAAAACACCCGAAAATCATTTTGTTTTAATGTCTTGTACATTTGACAACATCAGGAAGCACTTAACTTTAACTTAACTTAAACTTAACTTTAACTTAACTTTAACTTAATTTTAACTTAACTTTAACTTAACTTTAACATAACTTTAACTTAACTTTAACTTAACTTTAACTTAACTTTAACTTAACTTTAACTTAACTTTAACTTAACTTTAACCTAACTTTAACTTAACTTTAACTTAACTTTAACTTAACTTTAACTTAACTTTAACTTAACTTTAACTTAATTTTAACTTAACTTTAACTTCACTTTAACTTAACTTTAACTTAACTTTAACTTAACTTTAACTTAACTTTAACTTTAACTTAACTTTAACTTAACTTTAACTTCAACTAAACTTTAACTTCAACTAAACTTTAACTTAACTTTAAATAAACTTTAACATAACCTCAACTTTACTTTGACTTAATTTTAACATAACTTAAATTTTACCTCATTTTTACCTTATTTTTACCTTATTTTTAACCTAACATTAACTTAACGTTAACTTAACTTTAAATTTTAACTTAAATTAAACATAACTTTAACATTAACATAACTTTAACTTAAACCGAACATTAACTTAACATATTTTTAACTTAACTTTAACTTAACGTAATTTTAACTTAAATTTAACATAACTTTATCCTAAAATTAACTGAACTTTAACTTAACTTAAGCATTAACTTTAACTTTAACATAACGTTAATGTTAACTTTACTTAAATTTAACTTAAATTTAACTTTAACTTAACTTTAACTTAATTTTAACTTAACTTTAACTTAACTTTAACTTAACTTTAACTTAACTTTAACTTAACTTTAACTTAACTTTAACATAACTTTAACTTAATTTAACTTAACTTTAAATTTGACTTAACATTAACTTAACTTTCGCTAAACTTTTACTAAACTTTAACTTTTACTTTGATTTAACATTTTCTTAATTTAACTTAACTTTAACATAACTTTAACTTTAATATAACTTTAACTTTAACATAACTTTAACATAATTTCAACATAACTTTAACTTTCAAATAAATTTAACTTAACTTTACAATAATTTCAGCATAACTTTAACTTAATTTTAACATAAATTTAACTTAATTCTTCCAAAATTTATTCTAAATTTAATAAAACATTAACTATAACATTACTTTATCTTACCATTAATAAAACATTAACTTAACTTTACCTTAAACATAGCTCTAACATAAATTTAACTTTAGCATAACTTATACTTCACTTTAACCTAGTTAATTTAATTTGACTTTGACATAATTTTAACAAAACTTTCACATTACTTTAATTTCAGCTTTTACTGAACTTTAACTTTATTTCAATTTTAGCTTAACTTTTACTTAACATTAACTTTACTTTTACTTAAAATTAACTTAACTTAAACTTAACATTGACTTAACTTTAACTTAACATTAACTTAACTTTAGCTTAACATTAACTTAACTTAACATTAACTTAACTTTAATTTAACTTTAAATTTAACTTAACCTTAACTAAACTTTTACTAAACATTAACTTTAAATTTGATTTAACATTAACTAAACATTTACTTTACTGTAACATAACTTAAGCTTTAACATAAATTTAACTTTAAAATAACTTTAACTTTAATATAACTTTAACTTTAACATAACTTTAACATAATTTCAACATAACTTTAACTTTAACATATCTTTAACTTTAAAATAAATTAAACTTAACTTTAACATAATTTCGGCATAACTTTAACTTAATTTTAACATTAATTTAACTTAATTCAACCGAACTTTACTTTAAATTTAAAAAAAAACTTTTACTTTAACATTACTTTAACTTAAACTTATCATTAATAAAAGATGACCTTAACTTTACCTTAAGCATAACTTTAAAATTAATTTAACTTTAACATAACTTATACTTAACTTTAACCTAACATTAATTTACCTTCAACTTAACTTTAACTTTAACATAACTTTAGCTTAACTTTGACATAACTTTTACTTGATTTTAACTCAACTTTCACATTACTTTAATTTCAGCTTTTACTGAACTTTAACTTACCAATAACTTTAATTTAACTTAACGTAACGTAACGGACCGTAACTTAACTTTCTATAAACTTTAACTTACCTTTAATATTACTTCAACTTAACTTTAACTAAATTTAAACTTTATTTCAACTTAAACATAACTTTAACTTACCATTTAACTTTAATATAACTTTAACATATATTATATATATTTAAAACCTTAACGCACCTTTTAATTAAATTAAACATAACTTTAACATAACTTTAACATAGATTTAACTTAACTTTAATATCACTTTAACTTACATTTAACTTAGCTTTCATTTTACTTTAACTTAACTTTAACTTAATTTTAACATAACTTTAACTTAACGAATTTAACATAACTTTAACCTAATTTAACATTAATATAAATTAAACGAAACTTTATCATAACTTTAACTTAACTTTACCTTTATCATAACTTAACTTTAACAAAACATTCATTTTAGTTTCACTTTAACATTAATTAAACTTATCTTTAACTTAACTTTAAGATACCTTTAATTTAACTTTAACAAAACTTCAGCAGACATCTAACTCAATTTTAATATAACTCTAACTTTACTTTAACATACATTTAATATAGCTTAACTTTAACATAATTTTAACCTACCTTTATCATAACTTAACTTTAACAAAACATTCATTTTAGTTTCACTTTAACATTAATTAAACTTAACTTTAACTTAACTTTAAGATACCTTTAATTTAACTTTAACAAAACTTCAGCAGACATCTAACTCAATTTTAATATAACTCTAACTTTACTTTAACATAAATTTAATTTAGCTTAACTTTAACATAATTTTAACCTACCTTTAATTTATCTCGAACTTAACTTTAACCAAACTTTAACTTACCTTTATCTTAACTGAAACATTTTCTGTAAATAACTAATAACTTAACTTTAACATAACTTTAACTAAACTTTAGCATTAACTCAATTTAACAACAATTTAACAATTAAACAGTCACCCATATTCTTGTTTTCGTTCGTACCGTATTTTCCATAAAAAAACAGTTTTTTTGTATGGCAAATACGGTTCGAACGAAAACAAGAATATGGGTGATTAACTTACTCAATTTTAACATAATTTCAGCTTAACTTTATCATTACTTTAATTTTATTTTAACATTTACTTTAACATATCTTTAACCTTATTTTAACTTAACTTTAACTCAACTTTAGCATAACTTTTACACTAGTTTAAAGTTAAATATTTTAACATAACTTTAACTTTACTTTAACATAAATTTAATTCAGCTTGAACTTTAACTTACATTTAACTTTCGGATCCGGCATCGGTTATCGGTCGCGATACGGCATCAGGATTCCATATCGGGATCTGTCTTCGAACCTAGAGAATCACAATGCTGTTAGAATTTTAATTATTTTTCAAAATTGATCCGCTGGATAAATTGTTAGAATGTTAGACTCAGCCAGATTCCTCCAGCGGATCTATTTTGATAAATAATTACATCAAAATTTATCCGCTGGAGGAATCCGGCTGAGTTGAACATCCTTATTGATGCGTTGCATCAGTAAGGATGCTTAACTCCTCCAGCGGATCAATTTTGAATAAATATATACATTTAATATAATAAACACTAAACACAATACTTACTGTCAACTTATCTCCGCGAGTTTATTTCAGCTCCATCTCCCTTAATCCATTAGAAGCAGCCGGCTGAAAAAAATATTTGAAAAAAATATCAAGATTTTGTTTTCTTTTAAATTTAAAGCTGTTGCTTACCTTGAATATAAACTTCAACTGAAGCTGGTCCCGTCGGAAGACCAATATCTTCCGAAGATGGCCATCGGAGGCCAATTTTGCGAGCCGGATAAAAAAAAGCACCTGACACGAACGAAATGAAAACATGACTGACCACGCAATCAGCCGACGCGAAAAAAATCACAAAAAAATTGCTAAGTTCCATCCGCCATTTGGTCGCCCGGCGGATGAAATTACTCTAGTGGGGCGAGTCGCCCTTTGTCCGCATCCCGGAGCGCCATTTGGTAGCCCGGCGGATGAAATTACTCTAGCGGGGCGAGTCGCCTTTTGTCCGCATCCCGGACAAAGGGCGAACGATCAGTCTTCAAGTCGCTCAATGTCAAATGACGTCACTTTTTCGCCGGCAATTCGTGTGGGTACATTTGAAAATACCCGAAGAACGTTAAATTTTAACGTTTTGTACGTCTAAAATCATCTAAAAAAAAATTCGATTAAAATTCTCGACGACAGAACATTTGAATAGCAAAATTTTATTTCTCGTTACCTTGTATAAATACATCTAAATCGCAATGTTTTCTAATGTTTGATGCCAGGAATACATTTTATTTCGATGCTGATGTAGACATCAAACGTTAGGCAAACGTAAATTTTTATTCAAGTTCCCGCGGGACACCCGGAATATGTCCGGGTGTGGCCAAAGTGGTTCTAGGAACTAGATTTGAGTTCCATTGAACCAGAAATTGAATTTTCATGTAATTTGATGTGTCGCATGATTTGTTTGACCCTAATCAGATGTTGGCCTCTTCCCCCGGGACACCCGGAATATGTCCGGATGTGGCCAAAGTGGTTCTTGGAACTAGATATGAGTTCCATTGAACCAGAAATTGAATTCTCATGTATTTTGATGTGTCGCATGATGGGTTTGATCCTAATCAGATGTTGGCCTCTTCCCCCGGGACACCCGGAATATGTCCGGATGTGGCCAAAGTGGTTCTTGGAACTAGATTTGAGTTCCATTGAACTAGTCTTTGAATTCTCATGTAATTTGATGTGTCGCATGGTGGGTTTGACCCTAATCAGATGCTGGCTGCATCCCCCGGGACACCCGGAATGTGTCTCGATGTGGCCAAAGTGGTTCTTGGAACTAGATTTGAGTTCCATTGAACTAGTAATTAAATTGTCATGTAATTTGATTTGTCGCATGATGCGGTTGACTTAGCTTGTAAGATATTATTGTTAGGTTAAGATCTATTTAATACAAAAAACATATGTTAGTTATAAGAAAATTAAAAATAAAATTTATTGATGAAGTCATGTTTATGCTTCAACTGTTTTCATTTTTATTAATTTAAAACCCATTGAAAAAGAAAATGGTGGTGAACAATCGGGAGCGCGCCGGGGCGCCTGGGGGCGGACAAAATGGCCGAAACGATCAGTTTTTTGACAAGTATCGTTGTCGCCTCAGGTGCCCAAATGTTGCAAATATGGTCGCCCCCGGCGCGCCGGCGACCAAATTTGCACCAAGCGGCGCCGCGAGGTTCGAGTCGCCCAAGTCCGCCCCGTCCGCCGAGCGGTCCGGGGGCGAGCCGTGGGCGACTAGCCCGCTGTATGTGGGATGTATAGTCGCTATATTCATAGTCTGGCGGATAGAATCTCGGGAACCAATTGAGCTGTCAAATAGCGGAACCAATTGAGCAAATCACGACTAACAACAGAAAAGAGCACATCAGCTATTGCGAACAAAACGTCGGAAACCATTTTCTCGTGACTCAAGGCTCGCCTACGCAAACTAATATCATCTTTGGGTTGTGGAAAGTTTCCCTTATCCGGTGATGCCGGTAGTTTGCGTTCGATTGGCGTGGAAAGAATAATTTACGTTTGTTTATAAATGTTGATAGTATCTTTTCCATTGTTGGTCTAAAATATATTGAATTGGTTCCACTTTTTGATAGATCGAAATTCTATCCGCCAGACTATGAATATAGCGACTATAGAGTCATGCAGATCGATCAGCATGGTCACGTCTAACGTTGGCCTAACGCTAACATTTTTCCTTCTGGGATTGTTTTGATAAAAATGAGCGCAAAATTTCATCTCTACCGAGGGGGCAGCAAAATCACAAAATTACCTTGAATACGGGGGATATTCATTGGATGAAAGGGACCGTGAAAGAGGACACTAAAATATAAAGTTTTTCTTCCGACAGTTTCATCTTAGTATTCATCTTTATAGTCCCTGACAGACTTGATCCTCAAAAAAACCTTCGTCAAAATCTCATTCATTTTTTCGTCAATGACAAAGATTCACCTGGTAACAGAAAGTGTAATATCGCACATTCTGAGTCACATTAATGTTATCCAAGCATTTCAGGACGTAGATGCTTGTTAATGTTAACGGCTCCATGTAATTGTGTTGCTCAAGTCATTTAATTTTGTTAAAAAATTAGTTAATATAAAAATCTACTCATGTTCGTCACTGACAGCATTGTCATTGACAATTGACATGGTTTGCCTTGACTGTGACTGTTAGCCCAAAAGTGGACCCTACACGTCAATACATTCTATATTGACGTCAATACATCGAGATTGACCAAACCCCACACGCATCAATACATTGACGCGAAGGGGAATTATTGACAATAATATTGATGATGTGAATTCAGAAATATTGTCAATCTCGATGTATTGACGTCAATATATTATCAATTACGTCTCCTTACGTGCAGCCCATTCATCATTTTAGGACCACCGAAATCATCTTAGCAACAAACAGTTCGATTTATTCACTTTAATAATGAGAAAGCGAAACGACGAACGTACACTTTTTACGGGTTTCTCAGCGCTGTTACATAAGTCAAACGGCATCTCCATAGAAATTGGGTGACTTAAGTAACATCGAAAACTATTTTGATCGGAAGGTGATTACGTCAAAAAGCAATTTGGCTGGCAAATAAATTTAAAAATGGGATTTGATCCTATATTCGGACAGTATATAGTGTAATAGCAGGAGAATCGATTGACACTGATAGCTCGACTTTGTTTACCTTTGTTACATTCGACGTAATGAAAATTTGCTCTTGATATAATTGTCGTGACCTAGATTGCCTTCCATCGTAATTGGTTTGATTTTCGGGGATTTTCGGGAACGAATAAAGTAGAGTTTCAATTTACTTCCGTATTCTACAAACTCTCTTACAAGACTGATTTTATTACCGATTATTTGTCAATAGCCTACTATGATTTCTATTTTCATTTCGTCATGTCTCGTCTTATCTACTACATCTCTCCTCTAATCTACTCTTAGTCAAAAATGTTATACAAATACATATCATGATATTTCTTAGGTTTGATTGTTGTTCTTTTTGGCCTGGCATCCTTTAACGCATCGAGATTTGGACATCTGGCAATGGCTTCATCGTTTGACAGATTCAAATTCTCTTCACAATCAGTATATACGTTGGTATCCATGGGATTCACAACAGGCTCGTCTGTGAAATTGATCGTTTTAATAATTGTGTATAGTCAAAATACTTACTTCAACTAGAAAAAAAAAATACAAGAAAATCTACCAATTTCTTCTGCTTGTCTTTGCATAGACTCCATTGTTTCTGGTAACACATTTGCTGCTTTTTCTTCAAGTTCTTCAGCGCTATTGCCTTTTTCGCAATCCACAATAAGCTTCACATCTCGTATTCTACGAGAATATTGCACACCTCGATCACTCCTGATGACGAGTTTTCCTCCATCACGGGATAAGACCGTAAATTGTTCGCGAGAGAATGTTGGATCCGTTTTCGTTTTTCTTGAAACAGCTATTATTACCTTGTCACCGACAGCAATGTTTGAACATTTGGCTCCTCTGTGATTGTCTGCAAACTTATTGCTTATTAACTTTGATTCAGCATCCTTATCTCGTATCTCTTCTCTATCTATTTTTTCATTTTTCTGTTCCCAAAGGCATGGAAAAGTACCCCTGTATTTCCACCCTACAAGCAGTTCAAATGGCGTGACTCCGAGCCTTGAATGTGGTTTTATAGTGTTATGCACATGAATGTAATTATTTAACGCATTTTTCCAATTTTCTCCATCCTGCTTCGCTCCTGCAACAGCCTTGATCAACCCCTGATTCTGCCTTTCAACCGAACCATTTGATTGTGGACATAATGGAATCGATTTCCTAATATTTACTCCTTTATCAATCCAAAACTCAACGAATTCAGTACTGTGAAAAGGTGGACCGTTGTCGCTCTGTATAACCAGTGGTAGACCCCAAGTAAAAAATATCTTGGATAGAGCTGCGTTAGTACTTTTCGCGTCTGTACATCGCATTTCGACAGCTGTTAAGTATCTTGAATACGTATCAACTACAATCAAAAATTCACCAAAACCACAGCCGGGAAGGCATAAAAAATCTATTTGCAACACTTTCCATGATCCTTCAGGTAGCTTGCGGCTTGATAACGGTATTGGTGGATGTCGTTTCGTTATCATAAGGCAGGTCTTACAATTCTTTACAAATGACTCTGCGTCATCACTCAAACCTGGCCACCAAAAGAATTCCCTTAGAATTCTTTTCATTGCAGCTCATCCTATATGTCCTCTGTGTGCTGTCAGCAATACTTTTGAGCGCAATGATTTTGGTAAGATAAGTCTCTCTCCTTTGAATATCTTGGGACCCAAAATCCGCAATTCCTTAGCGTGTGCTTCGAAACGACGGAGGTCCTTTGGCTAGCTTCTTGATTCCAACGCTTCACCAATAGCAATTAGCTCTGCATCTGCTTCAGATGCTAATTCAATGTCCTTCCAAGTTATGTCCATTGTTCCAGCGTCCAGTGCAAACAGCAAATGCCTATCGTTATCTTCATCGAAAGGTTCATCTGTTTGTGTTTTTGCAATTAACCGAGATAGCACGTCCGCAACATTTGAATCACCTATACCATTATTCGTTTGAACAGAAAAAAAAAATCTAAATGACCACATTGAACAACAATATAATTGTTATCACCTGGCACACATTTGACTTTAAAGTCATACGATTGAAGTCTGAGAGCCCATCCCTGCGCTTTGGTCAGAGAGCGTATAGGGCGTCGTTGTGCCAA